CTCTTCACCACACAGGCATCACATATTTATACAGTACAGCCCCTCCTCCTGATGTCCCGCCTTCCACTCCCCATAGGATGGAACTTTCCCTCCAAACCCATGACAGACAGGTAACATCAGTGCTGTTATGTAACACTCCCTTAACGAACAACGAAAATGGCCGCGCTATGGAGGATCTTCGCTGAACGGTGAGTTTCAAGCCCATAGGAACGCATTAATTACGTTTTAATGTGTTTCTATGGGCTTTTTTGCCCTGTATAGCGACGAATCCGTATAGCGACGATTTTTCCGGAACGGATTATCGTCGCTATGCGGGGCACCACTGTATTCCTGTTTGCTGAGGTAAGCAGCAAGGTGCCAGTTGTAGCTCACTGAAGGGAAAGTGTGATATAAATCTAACTAATATCCAGTATTATGTAAAGGATAGAGTGACACATTAGGACTCAGGAGAGCCGAGTTCAAATTCCTTCTCAGCCTTAGAAACTCATTTAGAGGGTGGCACTGATAAAACCAGCACATAAATGTGTAGCTTGCCTTGCAAACCCCATTAGGGTTGCTATAATTTGGCTGCTACCTGATGGTAAATAACACAAACAAACATATACTAACAATAAATGAAGGATTAAATGAAACACACAAGGTTTTTTTCTGAAGCTGTATATATTGTGTATGTCATACCATGTTATATATACCTGTTATAGTGACAGGTAACATAGGGAAGTATATCAGATATGCACTTCAGGTGTTTGGCTGAAAAAAGGTTGCCCCTGTGTTAATCTGCAGAGAGGAACTAAAAAACAACAACCCAAGGATACAGTCATTCTCTTAATTCTTCCCTCTATTTTATGAGCTTTGAGAGACTTATTTGTTTACTATTTTTTATTTTTTGTGAATGGACCAGGCAGAGCCATATATTATGAGTGAATTTGGATGGCTGCAGTTGGATGCCTTTAAAATAGTGGTTTAGCATTATGCGTCAGTTCTGTTTCATGTCTTTTAACTCAGACGCAAGGAGGAGCTTGGAAATGTTTGCTTCTTTTTGAACTAACCACAGTTCAGCATTATGTCTGGCATGCCAACTATGCCTAACTGTAACTCTGTTTTGTTGAAACACACAACTTTAATAAAACTACTGTGATATGGCATGATTAGTATGAAACCTTCAGTGAAAGTTAATAGCATTATTGCAGTGAAATCTTCATGAGCTATCTAGCAGCTTACCTTGGTTGTCAGTTAGAAGGAAAGCCTGTACTGTCGTATTAAACTTAATTTCCTGTCCTATATTTTTAAAACTAATGTTAATTTTATACATGTTAAACCAGGAGACATAGTTTTTTCTGCTTTTCTTTTGGACTTCTGTAATTCTTAATGGGAAGCATAACTGATTTCCAATGGACATACAAAAGCATATTCAGGAAAGTGAGAAACCAGTGCTGCAACCTGTTCAGGGAAATTTTGGTGTTTTGCAAGAGCAAATGCCTGTTGAATGTAAAAAAACTTTTTTGTTAGAACAGTTAATCTTCAAGATTTTCAGGGAGTAACACACAAATTGTAAATCTGGATTACTGTATGCTTTCTCTCACACATATTTGAAATAGTTCAAGCTACAGTGGTGCCTCAACTTACGAACTTAATCTGTATTGGAATGGTGGTCATAAGTCGAAATGTTCGTAGGTTGAAGCACCATTTCCCATAGGAATGCATTGAAAACTGATTAATCCGTTCTGGCCGAAGAAAAATAATAATCAAAAAATAAAAAGAACACAGCAAGCCCAATCAGAATGTGCACCTTTGCTGAGGCTTAAGAAGAAGAAAAAAACCTCCAAAAACAAACACTAAAGCCACATCTGTTGCTCAGGTTTAAGAAGAAGAAAAAAAGTCCATCAACAAAAAGTACAGTGGGGTCTCGACTTACGAACTTAATCCGTATTGGAAGGCAGTTCTCAGGTCGAAAAGTTCTTAAGTCGAATCTGCATTTCCCATAGGAATGCATTGAAAACCATTTAATCCGTATCTGCTCTTTTCGTCCATAGAAACTAATGGGAAGCTGCTATTCTGCCTTCTGCCACTAGAGGGGGGATATATTTTTCTTTTTTTCTTTTAACCTAAGATGACTTAGCTTTTAAAAAAAAGGGAAAAAAAGAGTTCGTAACTCGAATCTAAGTTCGTAAGTCGAGTCCATATAGTCCTATGAGAGCGGTTCGTAAGTCGAAACGTTCGTATGTCGAGCCGTTCGTAAGTCGAGACCCCACTGTAAAGCCCCCTCCGTTGCTGAGGTTTAAGAGGAAAAAAACCTCCAAAAATAAACAGCAAAGCCACCAACAACACAGCACAGAAACATACCTGCCCCAGCCAAAACTCACCCAGAACAGTTTTTTAAAAGGAGAAAACAGCAGCTTACCTCCCTGCAGACACACATACATGCTCATTCCGAAGCAGGAGGCAGCCACAAGCCTCCAACGACAACAACACACTGCTGAAAGTGAAAGAGCTACAGTACAAAGCAGCCTCATCGCCACCTACAGTTAGAAATCTGAATTGCCTGCCTTTTCCCCCGCCTGCTTCTGTTTGTAAGTGGAAGCTCCGTTCGCAAGTTGAAGCAAAATGTTGCAACCGGAGCTGTTCGTAAGTTACAATGTTCGTAAGTAGGGACGTTTGTAAGTCGAGGCACCGCTGTACTAGAATATCAAATAAACCTCCTTAGTACTACAGCTGTACAGTGTATAGGTGTGGCAGAACACCTGTCACGATTCCATGTGGCCCCTGATTGTTTCACCAAACTAGGAGCTCACTCAGCTGCTGCCAGTTGATTTCATCAACAATACCTATTATTAATGGTGGATGTCCAGACCATATGTCATTTTAAAATAACAAAATAGAAATTGTTTATTGATACATGTGTTGACCAAAGAAGCAATGTTATTAACTGTTAAACAAACATTCTTCTTTATCCACCCTCAACCACCATTTTCTTGCCCAAACTCCAAAACTCCCTCAACTCTCTAATTCTCCATATCAAAGCCCTCTCTAAACCTTATCTAAACTCCTCCTCCTGCTGCTGAGTCTCTTATACCTCATGACTCCGCCCCTCCAGCACTACCATTGGCCTATGCAAATAGCATATAAATGTTCATGACCTGGGGAAATGCCACAACTTTTGAGGGTTTTGATCCAAATCTTTCAGATATTTGGGAAGGCTAGTAAGCATGGTTGATATGTTAATCTGTTCAGCTTGCAAGGCATGTGGTATATTAGTGGAAGCCATTGAATTAATTGTATGATATACAGAATCCCACTGAATCAGCATGTATCATCATAGTAGCTGAATAGATAATTCAACATTTTATTCTAAACACTCAAAGTATGCAAAATCCTAACTTAGAAAATTGCAAGAAAGACACTTAAAAATCATTAAAATATTGCTTATTTCCATAGCATTACTCTGTATAGCTTGCAAATGTCCAATTTGTTAACTTTAAAACAAACTCTATAGATTACGCTTGACATTTACCTAAAAGAAAAGTTAATTGATTTTCTCCTTTTCTTTTGAATTTTCAGGTACAAGAAGTAAAAGTGAACTCATACCAAATTTTTATTTCATCTGAAGTTATTTCTGCAGAATCAGAAATGAATTTTATGGAAGTATCTTCTATAAGGGCAACTTGAAAGATATGTACAGACATTGTGGCTCTTTTTCTTCATTCTATGAATAATGGAAATGTTAGACCATCTGCACTGATCTTGACAATAATACCAAGTTTTTTCTTGGTATTGTTTGGATATGAGTGATCAGAAATCTTCGCAGGAAGAAAAGCACAAGCCTAGCAGAGCGTCCCCAAAATTCAAGGAATCAAGAAGAATTATGCAGTCTGATGACTACTTTGTCAGAAAATTTAAGGCTCTGAATGGTAATATGGGCCCTCCGGCTTCTTTAAGTGCAAGCAACAAAGGTGAAAATAGTAATACAGCAAGTGGTACTCCAGCTGTGCCTAAAATGGGTGTCCGAGCCAGAGTGTCTGAATGGCCACCTAAGAAAGATGGTGTCAAGGATCTAAACAAAGCTCTCTGGGAAAATAGGGCTCAGATCAGTTATGAGAGTGTTGGATCAGTAAATGGTGACCAGAATGAAGGGCAACAAAAAGAACAGCTTGATTTAGAATTTGCAGAAACCAAGTATGCATTAGGTGACATTTTTATGCATTCTCCACATAGGGGGCTTCACCCTATAAGGCAAAGAAGCAACAGTGATGTTACAATCAGTGATATTGACACAGAGGATGTTCTGGACCAGAATGCTGTCAACCCAAATACAGGAGCAGCTCTTCATAGGGAATATGGAAGTACTTCATCAATTGATAGACAGGGTTTATCTGGTGAGAATTTTTTTGCAATGCTTCGAGGCTATAGGGTCGAGAACCTAGAACATAAAACACAGGTACCATTTGGATTCCCTCAGTTTTTCCATTGTGACCCCACAATTTCTCCAAGTCTCCATGCTGCAGCACAGATTTCCAGAGGAGAATTTGTCAGAATTGCTGGGCTGGACTATATGGATGGTGCCGTACTTATTGGTAGAGATCAGGACAAATCTTTTAAGTGGAAACTGAAGTCAGAATCTGTAGAAACATCTCTCTTCAGAAAACTGAGAACTGCTAAAAGTGAACACGAAACTCTTAAATTCTCGTCTGAACTAGAGGACAGTAGACTTGAGAAAAATATTCATCCTTGGAATTGTCAGAAGTGTTTTGCACATTATGATGTTCAGAGCATTCTTTTTAACATAAATGAAGCAATGGTTACCAAAATTAATGTGGGAAAAAGGAAAAATATAACTACTGGAGCTTCTGCTGCATCACAAACCTCAATGGTGACAGGACAAGTTGGAAGTTGTGAATCTCCTTTAGGAAGTAAAGAGGATCTCAATTCAAAAGAGAACCTAGATGCTGATGAAGGTGATGGGAAAAGTAATGACCTTGTACTGAGTTGTCCTTATTTTAGGAATGAAACTGGTGGGGAAGGTGATAGACGGATTGCACTATCTAGGGCAAATTCAGCATCTTTTTCCTCAGGAGACAGTTGTTCCTTTGAATCCTCACTAAGTTCGCATTGCACAAATGCTGGTGTCTCTGTACTGGAAGTACCCAGGGAGAATCAACCAATTCACAGGGAAAAAGTAAAACGTTACATCATTGAGCACATTGATCTGGGGGCATATTACTATCGAAAGTTCTTCTATGGAAAAGGTAAGCAATTGTTTCTAGAATCTATCAGTCCCGAAGGGTTCAGAACATTTACAGAATTTCTAGATAGCTTTAAAAAGTGATAGCAGTGATAAGGAAAAATAAGACCACCTTCAATTTGCAAGCATATTAAAGAAAAGCATAGCTATAAAGACACAAACCTGTTTATTAATCTACTATAGGTATTCAGCTCCTGGATTTTATCTTCAGGGTAATGATTTTACATGAGCAGAAGGTTGCTGTTGTGCTTGTGCCCTGCTTGTAGACTTCCCATTGCTCGAGCAGTGTGTGAACAGAATAATGAAATAGATAAAGACATTTTGATCCAGCATGGTTCTTTGTAGGTTCCTGTGGGGAAAATTTTCTTTAGAGGAGTATCTTGCTGGTAGTGGTTGTAGTGTTATTGTGGAAGTGTCTGGAAAGTACAAAGAAATGGTACCCATAAGTCAGTAAGCATTTTTTTTCTAGTCAGTAGTCTGTTACACACAAAAGCCAGCCAAATTTGTAAGAATCTAATATGATATAGTGATGTTACAAGCTTCTGTTCTGTCATTCAGTCTTAAGGGTGCTAAATAGCACAAGCCTATACAAAAGGCTAATAATTAATCTAGCTAATTTTAAACATATTTCAAACACATCACTTAAATGTGATCTTTTCCTAACTGTTTAAAGTGTTACATGAGCTTTGAATGTCATCCATTATATTTTGATCCAGTGACTCTGTTGCCCTGAGGTCTTACATTGTGTCTGTCATTCATGTAACAAAAATGTGTGTGTGTGTGTATCTTTGTGTAGAATATACTTCCAAATACTGTATGAGGGATGAGTGCTTTAGTGTAGGAATTTAAACTAAGCAGAGCCATCTTTAGTAATATATTTGAGTGTGTTCACTTTTCTCTCTTAAAATATTCGTAGAGATCATTAGATCATATATATTATTCAAGTTCTAAAGTGCTAGGACATACCAGAATGGATGAAATAAATTATTTTAATTTTTTTTCATTGCCAAAATGCATTTTCTTTTCCTTTTTCTTAAATTCTACACAACAATATTATTTATTTATTTATTTATTTATTAAACTTGTACATGGCATCAATTAGAGAGAAACACTACTCTGGGCATAAAATAAATTAGAATGTAATAAAAGCAAACATGACATATAATCAATACATAACTATCAAATAAATCAATAAAACTCAAATGATGGTGAATAGGCAATATAGGGATAATCATATCACGTTAAGAGAGGATGCTCTCAAAAGCTTCAGTAAACAGCATTGTATTGAGCATCCTCTTGAAGGCTGTGAGGGAGGAGGAGGCCAGGTGTAGCCCTCTTGGGATTCCATTCCCAAGGGAAGGGGCCATGACCAAGAAGGCCCTATTTCTGGTTGATGACTTCCTGGCCTCTCTCAGTGTGGCCATGTGGAGAAGCATGGCCTGAGAGGAATGGATGACGTAGTTATACTTTTTAGGGGAAAATGTTCCAACAAATACTGAGGTCCCAAACTGTGAAGGGCTTTATATGTGAAAACCAGCACCTTGAATCAGGCCCGATACAACACAGGCAACCAGTGTAGGCTAGCCAGAACTAGGGAAATGTGCTTGTGCTTGTTCACGTTCAATAACAGTCTGGCCAGTGCATTCTGCACCTTCTTGGAGTCTCTGAGTCAGGTTCAAGGGAAGTCCCACAAAGAGAGTACTGTAGTATTTCATTGCTGTAATCACCAGCACATGCAGCAAGATCTTCATCTTACCACCAGGGAAGGTCTCAACTGGGCTATCAGCCTTACCTGATTAAAGATTGACCTGCTCACTCTGCAATCTGGGTTTCCCTGGCTAGGTCCAGGAAAATACTGTACTCAGATTGTGTTCTCAATCCATATTTCTCACAACTTCCCTGCCCAGATTGACTCACAGAAGTTTTAATTTAAAATGTGTTATAGCTAAAAGGTCTCATTTTGGTGTAAGAATTGTACAGTCTACTTTTATATTATTTTATTTATTTGTATACCATGCATCTTGCAACCCAGGCCATTCTGGGTGGTTCACACAGCACAATAAAACAGTACAATAACAAAACAATGTATAAATTAATCAATACAATTGAAACAATTAAAAATAAAATCGGTAAACATTAACATAAAAAGGGAAAGGGAAAGATGTCAGGCTTGAAATGTAAGTTGGATCAAGGTGGAATAGAGTCCAAGGCCTGTCTAAAATAGAATGTTTTTAATATATTTTTTTAAATTACCATGTTTCCCCGAAAATAAGACAGAGTCTTATATTAATTTTTGCTCTAAAAACACATTAGGGCTTATTTTCATGGGATGTTTTATTTTACAGTCATGTCATCTTCGTCTGGTTGCTGCACAATGGTGGAGGGCGGTGTTTCACTTAACTGGGCCTTATTTTTGGTGTAGGGCTTATATTATGAGTATCCTGAAAAATCATACTAGGGCTTATTTTCAGTTTAGGTCTTATTTTTGGGGAAAGGGGTATTAAGTACATATATAATTTTTTCAAAGTTATTTAAATAAGGCCCAAGAGTTCTAGATTAGAGTCTAATATTTATGGAGTTTCACAAACTATTTACATTAATTTGTCTCCCTTAGTACTCAGTCTACTAGATCTCATTAGATAGTAGACTGTGCCAGCATGATAATAATAGTCATATGCTCTCAAGTCAATTCTAACTTATGGCGACCCTTTTCAGAGTTTTCTAGGTAAAAAGTACTCAGAAGTGATTTACTATTCCCTTGTTCTGGAGGTATCCCAGGATTGTGCAGCTTGTCCAAGGCCACACAGTCTGGCTCTTCCAGGATGCATAGTGGATAATTGAACTCTGAAACTCTAGCTCTGCAGCCAGGTACCTGACTCACTGATACACTATTGGAAATTTTTAAGAGCCATGTTAAAATTCCCAAGATTACTTTCATCAGCTTCCTTGAGTGATACTGATTCCTTTGAGATGGCTACTCACTTTGTCTTCCCTATGCAACTTTGCATAGGCAAAGTCAAATGTTTACCTCTCTCTCTGAAAATGAACACTTCGGTAGGGAAACAGAATATATTTAGATTTAAATATGTGAACAGCCTCCCAAAAATGTAGTCCTCCTTGCTAAAACCTTAATATATACAGTATATTCACAATACATATTTTTATAACTCTTTATTTCTCACACCTTTCTTACCCAAATTGACTCTCTTTCCATCTAATATCCAATCACACTTCTGGTATCTAAAATTGTGTGCTTTCAAACACCATTTATGTCATTATTCTTGGATATTTAGTATTATTGGAGGTTGAGTCAGTTTGGCCAAGGTGATGTGATAAAAATGTTGTGAAAAACATATATTAAAGTTATAATAAGCAGGAGTACACTTTTGGAATGGGAAACCATGTGATTAAATCAACTGAGGATCTCCTACACCTTAAATAATTGTATTCAGCAGCATCCTTGGGCAGACTGTCTCCTAGATTGCACAATATCCAAGGAGATGTCTCTGTACTGGTCTCCTTGAGGATATCATGCTAATATGTGAAGAATGGGGGTTACTTGTTTTCCATGAATGTACCAGGTACTGCAGCAGTGTAGCTGTGCAGGGCAATGTACTGTAAGAGGGAAGAGAATTCTGTTTGACTTCTCACAGAGGTTGTTCTGCACAAACTGGTTCCTGTGCTCGAACAGGAGAAATAATCCCATAACTATATAACGACCACCATGAAAATATATTTGTATTCATTAGTCTATCTGCTTTTAATTCTGAAAAATTAAAAAGGGTGAACAGCAAAGAAAAATTACATCCAACATAATTTAGGAGAAACAGTGCTGGAAGTGTGATGTATCCAGGTTTTGATATGTTACAATGCTTTTTGTGTAATTATCATTGAAATACTGGTGCTCAGTGTAGTCAGTCACACTAAGGTTGACCCATTGAATCGGTGGGGATTTGGTAAGTTGCTCTATAAGTTCCAGTGATTCAAATGGTCTTCTCTAATTACAACTTGACTGTAGTACATTGTGATTAAAGTAGGCCCATTTAAATCAATGGAGCTTATGGAGGAGTTGGCTCATCAAGTCCCTACTGGTTCAATGGGCCTACTGTGGTGCATTTTACTGTGATACACAACTGGATTTCAGCCAGTGTTTTACAAATGTTCATCCTGAATTGCACTTGAAAGTATAGTGAAGATTAAAATGTTCCTTGACTGGAACATTGAATGTTCCTGCAGTCTAATGGAAGGATGCAAAAGTCACAAAGGGAAGGGAAATGAGATGGAGGAAAAATCTATAGCAAGGGGAGTATTGCTGGTTTATTAAAGCACCTACTTGACAAAAGGAAAAGGTCAAGGAGAAAATATACAGTTTGAGGGTTTTCCTGACAAGTAAAGGGAGAAGCATATTGAATATTGAAGAAAAGGGGAAGAAAAAATATTAGAAAGTTTTAAGATATTTGGAATAAAATCCAAATGAAGAAAATACAAAAAAAAAGATCTAGAGGATACTCTAAAAAGGGAGAGCAAAAGCATTAGAATCTTCATACATAGCATAATATTTTGTTTATTCATTTAAAACATTTGTGAGTTACCTTTTCATATTTAGGATTTCAAGGCAGTGTAAACTAGGGATGGACATTCAGATTCAGAAATATTCAGAATTCCATGAATATTCCAGTAGTTATTCAAATAAAGCTGAATCCAAGTTTGATAGTTTTGAATATCTATAATGATCATCATCATCATCAGAGGGCAGAGGTTGAGCTATTGGCATGAGGAAGCAGGGAGATAGGTTCCCCTTGACATTTAGTCCAGCCATGTCCGACTCTAGGGCATGCTGCTCATCGCCGTCTCCAAGCCATAGAGTCAGCATTTGTCCGAAGACAGTTTCCGTGGTCACGTGGCCAGAGTGACTAGACACGGAATGCTGTTACCTTCCCACCGTGGTGGTACCTATTTATCTTTTTACAGTACTGTAAATTCAGGAAAGGCCTTCTGCAAGTT